GGCTGCCATCCCCGGCCACGGCCTCCCCCAGATCCCCCTGACCACCGCCCAGGGTTGCAAGACCAGTCCTACCTTCGTACTGGACCTCCAGGTGCGCTGAGCACAGCATGCCCAGCACGGGCTCTACAAGGGCGGAGGGCACCTCTCCCACCACGTCCTGGGGGGAAAAGGGCAGAGTGACAGGGAGAGCCTTCATGCTGTTCTCCAGCGGAGAGGCTGCGCAGTGCAGCCCCAGCACCAAGGGGACTGGCACAGCTCCTGCCAGAGCAAAAAGACAGATTTGGGAGCTAACGCTGCTCCTCACCCCCAGCGTGGCCCACTACCCACCTGCATGACCGCGAGTGTCTGCAGAGCCATCTGCTGCGCGTGGGGGGAGGCACACAGCAGCACAGCGATAAGGCCTTTGTAGACTTGGTTCTGGTACTTGGGATTGCCGCGGCCCAAAGAGTCCATCAGAACCCGCACATCTTCTTGAGCCTCTGCTGAGCTGGAAGTGGCCAAGAACTCCGCAAGGGATCGCACCCCTGTGCAGAGAAAGAGATGCCAAGTCGTGTGCCCGGATGGGTCAGGTCACCCACCTCGGCTGTTTCACTGACACCCCAAGAGAACCGAGCACCACATCCCACTTGAAGCACAGCCTGAAGAACAGAAGCCAGAAAAAATGTTTGTCTTTGTCAGGAGCCACAAGATTAACTGGAAAACCAGTCGCAAAAATTCTCAGCTGGAGTAGGTGGTCAAGGCCCTTCTGCAGGTGTCTACATGAGCAGAGAATTGGCACTGGGATGCCAACAGCGCTGCTGGGGATCCCTCTGCTGATCCTCTGCTTCGTCTCTCTTGGAGGAAACTGTGATGGCAGGCATCACCCCATAGCCTCTGACAATGTAATCTGAACTACAGAACAACTAATGAGGTTTGGCTGCCACTGCCCAGGAGAAAAAAAACAGGAAAAAAATGTTGTAATGCTCTTTCAAAAGACACAAACTGCAAAACCCTCCCACCCTCAGAGGGGAAGTCTGGGAAAGTTTGCAGTAGGTGAACGCTGCAGATAAGAATGGAAACTTGTTTTGTGGTTTCACTGGAGCAGTTGCAACCAGCAGGACAGCAATAGTGCATCAAAAGAAATGACTGTAAAGAAGAAAGCTCATTAAAAACTGAGAGAGGGGATGAAATGCAACCGCTCAACAATAGCCGAGACTCTGAATGAACTTCTTCCAGCCAAACGCTGTGGACAAGCAGCCCCGGAGGCCAGAGGTCAGGGAGAACATCCTTGCCTGATTAGGAAAAAGCACGTATGGACATGCCGCCTACCGTAGCTTTCACAAATGAGCTCCTTATACTTCCTGCCAGCATCTGCGACAAGCTGCAGCAGCTTTACAGACTCCCTTTTGTCCTCTTCTTTCAGTTGGTTCAGCCCTAGTATTTCCAGGAGAATCAAGACACCTCCGATCTCCAGAAATTCAATAAGGTATCTGCGTCTGCAAGGACAGGGGGAACAAAGCCAAAAGTGTCATCTGCCTCGGAGCCCACCTTCCTGTGTCAGCACGTTGCTCCTGGGAACCATCACCTCCTGCCTTGCTGCAGTGGGTGCCCGGTGCCCGGGCAGTGAACACGCGGAGGCGCAGCCTGGAGCGCAGAGGCAGTTGCCCGCCAGCAGCACGTCTTGCTGCCAGCAGGTCACCAATTTCTATTTTACCCTGTACTCATTTCAGATATTAAACCACAGGCACAGAAAGCCCCAGCTCCACACTCAGGCTCTCACCACACTCCTTCCACATCACATCAGTGACCTGGTGCTCTGGAGACACCACAAGCAGTGGATTTGGTTTTGGGAGCATTTGAAATTCCTACCACAAGCCTCAGTGAGGCCTGCCTTGCCTGAAATGCTTACACAGCCCTCCCAAAAGACCACCCAAGTCTTGTTATTTTATCTACTCACCCCCTCACCCTTGCATGCCCTCCCCACAGCACCCCTCACGCAGTGCCATTCTGTACTCACCCACTTGCAGCAGATAAGAAGATGCCAATGGACTTGAGCAGCTTGTTGAGGCATGTGCTGTACATGTAGCTGTTTGACGAGGCTAAGGAGAGATTTACAGACCATCGTAGTGTCCCCCAGACTGCCTTTGGCAATGTGGAGGTCTGAACCATGTACTCTGCGAGAGAGCATGGACCTTCCTTTCACAGGCACGCAGAGGCAGCACGCTCATCCCAATATGAGAAAATCCACTAATTCTAGGTCCCTGAGAGTCAGGTTACATTACTTTCCCTTCAGCTCCATCTTTAGATACTCAGGGCTTTTTTAACCCTGCAGAACACCGCTGGATATAGATGTCTCCATACAGAAGCATATTATTTAAACTAATTTTTGGTAGAGAACTTTCCCTTCCTCCCCATCCCACTACCATATGCCACCTCCAGCTGTCCAGGGAAACAGATACGTCATCCTGAGCCATGCTGTTAGGCGAGCCAGAAACAAGCTGGCTCCGTGGGAGAACTCAAGCTCGAGCTCTGGTTCTGTCTTGCCATCATTGCTTTTAATGAAGTCATCCAGGATGCGGTTCCGAGCAACTTTGTGGGCATTATCCCATTCCTGCAAGAAACCCATGAGTTTCCTGATGGCCTCCTGCTCTTTGACAGAAGTCATGATCTCTTCTGCCTAAGGAAAAGTGAGAAAGAAGTTAAAAAATAGCTTTGAAGATAGAAGAGGTCGTACTAAGGAGTCACCACTAGAATCACATTTAAAATCTCTGGTAAATAGTATTAAAGCACTTACTAGCCATTAATTTAATCTAATTTTCTTTTATACTTATTTCATCAATAGGAAAACTGAGGCAAAAGGAGAGTTCCTGGTCTGCCTGAAGCTGCACATTGAATCTGCACCAGACTTGAGATTATTTTCCAGGGCAGGTGGCTTCACCGCAGCAGCTCTCTTCTCTGTTAATAAAGTCATTTTGATGTTACCCATTACCCTAGCCTCGGTTTCTCACTAGCCTCATGATATGAACACTGCATCTCATACCTGACCTGACAGAGAATAAATAGGGTGAAATGAGCGCACAAATAGGTATGGATTTACGGGGAGTGACAGGGTCAAGGGGGCTGTAAATGCCTGTTAGCACAGCAGCGCAGCATGCCCTCACTCACGTCATGGAGCGACAGTCATTTGGACTGGGCCCACATCCACTCCAGGAAGATGTGCTTGGCCTTGGCAGTGGGAGAGCACTTTGGGACCCTTTGGCATGACAGACATTTGTTCTGTTTTATTCTTATCTAACTTCTATGGAATGTTTTAAACAATCTAAGAAAACCTGAACTATAAGCAATAAGACAGAAACTCCAGAAACATTCCTTGCCAGCACTTCCTTCCATCCCTTCACACAGGTGTTCAATAAAGCAAACCATATTTTGCCAAATTTATTTGGCGCACTTTTGACTCAGTATGATATCCCTTATTCCAGCTTGACAAATGTGCACTTAGTAGGGGGATGACATGTCAGAGGATTAAGTTCTCCATTCATTCAGGTAGGTGAGAATTCCACTGACATGTATGTGTTTGGCTTTAAGACACTGACTGATCTCAAGGAGGCTCACAGTTAAACATCAGTGTCTGTGTACATACACAGATGCAGAAAGAGGGACAAGGTCACAGACAGCTGCATTAGCACAGCTACCTTGTCCTCCACCAAGCTGTATCAATGTGCCTGAGGATAAGAAAGGAATTCATGCCTTGTCTAACACAGTTCTTGGACTTCCTCCATAAGAAAAGCACTATTTTATGTTTTACTTAAAGTGTGGTTTAAGAGAAAAAAAAAGTTAAAATGACACAAAATCTTTGGGTTTCAGAAGGTTCTTTCAGTGTAATACAAATTGCCAAGATTACCAATTTCCTATCTACAAAGTTCTTAAGTCACTTCTCCTAGAATCTGGAGCAAAGCCCCAAATCAGGTCAGAATATCTCCACAATCTAGCTCAGAAGTAACTTTCTATTGCTATTATCTGAACCAGACTGAAAACAATGACCAAGAAGCGAACAGTGCCTGAAAACAAACAAGCAAAGTCTTCAAAAAGCTGCCTAAGAAACAATGTTTGAGAACTAAAATGAGATTAAATTTCATTTGGGAATTAACGGTCTGTACTCTGTAAGGAGTCTGTGTCCTTGGCAGGGCATTTTCAGGATCTCCTTTACAGGGAAGCAGGTTTAAAATAAATCCATTTTCCCAAAATAGTTGTGATTGAAAATGTTATTAGCCATAACAAATGTTAGCGCTGACAGGAGAATGGCGTGTTAGGGGTCTCTGGTGAAACAGTCAAGTGAAAGACATATTTCACATTACTGCAAGCATTTTCCTGTGATTTACAGAATATTTGTGAAACATTACTTGCAAGGCATATGATTGATATTGAGAGAACAGCTAGTGTGTAGGGGAATCTGTATTTCACAGAGACTGTTCGCATGAAATTTACAGTCCCATAAAGTGCTCCTGTGTCCTCAACAGAGATCTAGTTAAAAGAACTTCACAGTCTGAAACATCCCAAAATTGATTCTAAATTAACATTTCCATATTTATGTTTGAGATGCTGGTGGTGTAATGCTATCCTATTTTTATTGAAGCTGCAGTAACCCCCCACTATTCAGAACTACCAGCACCAGCCTCTGGATGTGAGGATTTTAGTGATACAAAGGGGTTGCCTAGGAATCAATAGCAAAAAAATGAAGAGTTTGAAACAACCATCACATGAGGCTTCTGAGGATACAGTGGTATCTGTCCCTCGCTACTATAATAACAGCATCTGCTGACAGAGCAGTCTTTAAGCAGACATTGCAAAGTACCCTGAAAAATGTACATTAATATTTTTATTATGACCGCTTTACATATGGGAACACACAGCCACAGGGAAGTTAAATGACTTGCCTGAGTAATTTGTCAGTGCTAGTGTTAGCACATAACTCCTGTTTGTTGGCTTCAAACTCTGCTCTTAACAGTGCTGGGTTCCCACCCTAGTTCATTGGACCTAATAATCAAAACAAAGCTGGGTCAGGGCAGTGCTTTATTCCTGCCAAGACAAACACAAGTGATTGAGGAACTGGCTCTGGCAATTCAGCAGATCTTTACATCTAGAGTGCTGCCAAATCATCAGATTGATATCAGAAGGCAGACTGGTGTTGCGTCTACCCCAGTCCAAGGGTGAGGTACCAGGGACCGATAGCCTTGGACTCATGGAAGGACAAGAGTGATGGTGGTGTTACCTTTGCATCTTACAACATCAAGGTTGTGCCCAGCCTCAGGTAAAACTTAAAGCTTCTGTTTCCCTAACAGGTTTCACCCTCTCCTGGCATACCTCAAGTCCGCCACAACCCTCCTTGCACACAATGCACCTTCCTCAGTGTACCGCAATGCCTTCTACCCAGCCCCTACCA